AATATTAAAGTTTATTTCTAGTGAACTACATAGTTGTCTTCTAATTCGCGCTCTCAAACATTGCAGCATCAAAATCAACATGATCACCTCCTGTTAAATACGAGCACAAGAAAAATAAAAGAAAACAACCATTAGCAATAATGCTAAGTAAGTTCCACCTAACCTTTTAAAATAATAATAAATAATATATATAAATTCGTACAACCTCATAACATATTTTTCAAAACACTTTATAAACCATAAATCATAAGTTAACGATATCTATATAAAATCCCCATCACATAATTAACTCGTAAACCATAATAATTCCAAAATACATGAAACACCAAAATTCTACTCTTTTGAATTTCTCCCAAAATCACTTTGTATCTAACTTCCTAGTAATTTAGAAGGGCGGTGCTCAACACTTTGGTTGAGCCCGGTGGTCCGTTGTTATGTACGGCCACCCCGGAACTATTGCCGGTACCACAACTGCTCCTTGGAAACGGAAACAACTACTTTAAGTGTGCACACCCCCTAAAGGTATTCCAAGCCCTCCAGGTTAGTAAGTCGATCCGGGTAGTCGGGATATTTTCTACCAACTACCCCACCTCAAAAACCTGAATGATTAGGAGCTACTACTACCACTACTACTCAAAAGCCGGGATGTTTTCTACCGACCGACAATTCACCTCAAACCAACACAAACCAAAAATTGAGTAGTAGTAGACCTAACCATCCTCCACATTTTAAGGGACGTGGAAAACCAACATCACGGATTTCTCTCGTGATGCTCACCATTTATGAAAATATTTATTTATCTTTGTTTTCTCAAAATCAATCGAAGTTTATACTTCACAAATTTCCTTTTTCATTAAACTCCCACAAAGATAACAAATTACGTACTATTACAAAATCTTCCAAAATAACTCATATCAACAAACTAATATCTCAAATGCAATCCTTTTATATAATAATATTCAAATTCAGCACACATAACTTCAATTCACAAATAAGCACACAAAAATATTTAAAAGAAATCACGAAGAAAAAGAACTAATTTCGGTTGACGTGAAACTTACCTTAAATCCCGATGCTCCTAATTCTCTTCTTCAGTTCCGGTCTCTAAATATTCACCTTTTTAATTAAGATGATATAATTAGTCACTTATTCTCTTTGTAATTATTTTACCCGATTTTCTCCTTTTATTTTATTATTCGAATTTATTAACTTAATTTATTAGTTATTCGAATTTATTTAATTAATCACTTTTTATTAATCAAATTACCTTATTAATTCAGCCATTAATTACAATATTTGAATTCTAATATTAAATACAATATCCGAATATAATTAACTACAACATCCTATTTTTTTTTTATTCAATAACCACCACTAATTTACTCTACTCATAAATTATTATCTAATTGCTTTATTTATATTAACCCATTAATTTATGAATTCAAATATTTTAAATATTTATATGAAGTCCGAATATCTAATAATAAATTATAAAAATTATTAATTGAATTAGTCCACTAATTACATAACTAAGTTATTTATTAAGTCTACATATAGTCAATTATTTATGCTAGCTAACCCAACCTTATTTTATTTTCCTTATTTTTTTCCAACATTATTTTTAGTCCAGAATATTATTTTTCAATCTCAGTGATTTATTTATTTCACCATTAATATAAATATTTCCTTATTTAATTACTTAACTAGTTTTATATGGCCTAATTTAAATAAATAGACTAAGAGTCGACTTTATAAATTAATAACCGTCTATAACTATATTTGGTGTCTATATTTGACCTAAGTTGTCCAGATATCTGTAGTGAGCGTATTTCACTTGGATTACAAATGGGGAAAAGGGGCGCTATTTATAGTAGTAATAAATGCCAGATAGGGACACGTGTCATCATTCTGATGATCGGGGGGTCACCTCAACGGGGTGGCGCTGACATTCGCATGTGGCCGCATTAAATGCAGCTGTTGGATGTGACGTCGTACTTGGTACGGTGATTCAGGCGCATGCGGAGAGGATATTATGTCGAGAAAGGCGCCCTCGGCTGCAGGTGATTAGCCGAGGGCTCTGAGTACCGGGGACCTCCTTAGTGCCGAGGGCTCTGGGTGCCGAGGGCTACTGATTTTCGCCGTTTTCTCCCAGTGACTTTGTTTGCTTGAGTTGGCCATCCTGTGAGAATTGGAGCCTTCGGCCGGGGGGGGGGGGGGGGGGCGAAGGCACCCCTAGTGTGCCACGTAGGTTGCTTAGTACTTGGGGCGCTGTGATCTGGGCCTGCTGTGCTTCCTGGGCCTATTGGGCCTCCCTTAGAATGGCAGGAGTGTATGGGCCGGGGGTTCCTGGGCCATATACTCCATCAGGAGTCCCTCACTCCTTTTGCCGAAAGGTACTTGAGGGAAAAGGAGTAATTTGTGTGTCATTTGGTGTTGTTCCGTTGTAGTTTGTAAAGTTTGCGAGTAGTTTGTTGTGTGCATGTTTCAGCCGAGGGCAGTCCCTCAGTTACCCACATTCCAGGACTTAAGGGATCATGTTTGTTGTTGTGGGAGTTTTTGACATTTTTTGTTTTTTGAGGTTTTTCCTGAAGAGGTTCTCCAGTCCCCCACTCCTTGAGGCACTTGCAAAGTGGTGAAAAGGAGTAGAGTAGTGCCTGCCTGCAATATGAAGCCGAGGGGTGACGCTTTTCGTTTCATTTTGGGGGGATGCCTCGTTAAAAACCTCAATGGAAAAAACCCTGTGGGAAAAAATTCCAATGAGGGAAAAAGAGTGCACCGAATTCCCCCAATGATGAGTCGAAAAGGTGAAATCCCGGTTTGAAATGAGTGGCAATATTTTCTGCCGAAGGCTATCCCTGTCTGAAGGCACGTGTGTTGATTTGCCGAAGGTTCGCTGTTGTTATCCTGAGAGATGCCGAAGGGGGAGCCCTCAGATTATGAGAATGAGGGCGCGATGAATGTGGATGATATTGTCGGTGTTGTCGAGGGGTCCCTTGTTTGTTTTCAAAGGGGGGCTGTGGTGCCCCGAGGGGTTCCCTGTTGCGTAGCCGGGGGTGATCGTTGATGAAGGTGTGCTCCCTGGGGTTACGTGGCCCTCAATGTGTTTGAGGGCTGAGGGTTCCCGAGGGGTGTGCCCGTTATGAAGCCGTGGGCTCCTGAAGGAGTGAGCCCGAAGGCATTTGTGATGTAGTATAAGGGGCATAAGCCGGGAGCACTTCTGGGTAAGTGTACCCTGGAGCTCCTCTCGATGAAGTGGAGTGAAGGAGAAAACCAGGGGCTAGTTTCTTGGTTGATGAAGGAGTGGTCTGCCGAGGGCGCGGGCTCGGTTCCCAGAATATAGCCGTTGTAAATAGAGCCGTTGGAATATCTAACGTCAGAAATATAGCCGTTGGGGGGGCCTCCACGTGGTGTGCGTTCGTTGGCTGCCTATGGGCGGGCGTCACCGATTGGGCAATTCGACAGTTCGTAATTATGGCTTTTCAACTGGAGGCCCGGTTTCCGGCCCAAGCCCGGATTTGCGGTGCCTATAAATACCCAGGTCCAGAGGACTTCCTCCTTGTGCGATCATTGTTGTTAGCGAAGCTCTGGCCATTTGTTTTCTAGAGAGAGAAACACCTGCCCTCGATCCAATCCTTTGTTCCAAGGTCAGTTCCCCACTCGTCCTTCACCTTTCTTGCTATCTGTGCTTTGTGGCCTTAGATTAGGGGTTGTAGCTTAGAGCCTTTAGTATCTCTGAACCCTTGGTTTAGTATACACGATGTCTTCACAAAGCGATTCCCAAGACATCTCGAGGGAGCCCTCGATGGAGGAGGAAACCGTCTCCGATGTGGAGTCCACAAGTGAACAGCCCTCGGTGGGGCATGATGCCGCCATAGCGATGGAGTTGCAGAGAGCCCTCGTTGCCGAGGTGGAAGCCGAGGGATTCGAACAAGAATGCGAGGATGAAGAGCTGGCTCTCACCTGGCAGGTGGCCGAGGAAGAGGCGCAGAGATAGAGCATGAGGGTCACCGTCGCAGTTCCTCCCCCTCGCGACGCTGGTGAGGCCAGCACCTCTCGGCCATTGAACCCGGCCCCTCTCCGGGTGGCCCCCGGGAAGAAGAAGACGAAGGCTGCCGCTTCTAAGAAGAAAGGCAGTGTTGCTGACCAAGGGAAGCCTGTCGACATGCCTGAGGGGTACTCCTTCCTGAATACCGCCGCCCTCGAGATAAGGTCGAAGGCTGATAAGGTGGACTTCTATGTTACCCAGCTTCATGTGGGGCCCTCGGCGACGGTAGTGCCACCGGGACCTGATGATGTCCTCTCCCGGGCCCCCGAGGGATGTATAGCCGTTCACATCCTTTTGGTGTCAATGGGCCTCCAATTCCCTCTGCACCCTTTTCTGCGTGAGTACCTTCGGTACGTAGGACTGCTCCCCTGCCAGCTCACGCCGAATAGCCACTCGTACATCGCTGGGTTCCTCCATCTCTGTAAGTCCCGGGGGGTAACACCTAGCTTGGACTTGTTCTTCCAAAGTTTCAACTTGTCTCGGGGGGGCATGCGAATGCCGAGGGCTTCGCGAACTTGCAGAAGGTGGCCCTGTTCAAGTTATTCACTGAGGCGCCTTCCTCGAACAAAGGCTTGAAGGAGCGATGGTGCTACGTCAGGCTAGCTGAGAGCCCCTTCCCGAGGGAGCTACGCGACCGGTTTAGGCTGCATGAGAAGGTGAGGAGCGCCGCCCTCGAGGATGGCAGGATCCTGGCTAAGATCCCAGAGGGTCGAAACAAGAATATAACCATCAAGGAGTGCACCCTGGAGGAGGATCTCTATACCCTCGGGTTCCGGCGGTATCGCTTCCTGGGGCAAACAAATGAAAAGTACCCGCCGCTTGATGGAGCCTCCGGGGGTTTAGGAGGTAGCAGCCGAGGGCATCTTTACTTTCGTACTTAGCATACCTTTTTATTTTTTGTACTTTCATGTCGTTTATTGATGACCCGTCGGCCTAACCCTTCATTGTTTTGCAGGTATCCCGGTTTCCAAGATGAACGTCAGGGGGCTTGCTGATTTGAAGAAGAAGTCCTCCAAAATTCCGAAGGGGGCGGATGCGGGCACTCAGAAGCCCGCTAGTGACTTTTTCAAGAAGTCCGAGGGCACATCGACGGTCCCCACTGCTGATGCCGCCGCCGCCGTGAAGAGGAAGGCCGCGGGCAAGGCTCCCGAGGGGAAGAAGCCCAAAAAGGGAGATACCAGGAAGAAGGATCCTCCTGTGGTGATCGTAGATGAGCGCTCCGCCTCCGGGACGCATGTGGAAATGCCGGTGGCTGAAATGCCGATGGGTGTTGGGGAGCCACCCTCCGAGGTTTTGCAGGTTTCTCTCTCGAGGGGAACAACCGTGATGAACTGCACGGTGGATCCGAGGGTGCTTTTGAGGGGCATGACCCCTGAGATTGACAGAGCCGCCCTCGGGGCTGATGATGACATGGCCCTCGAAGACAAGATCCTCCGGTCTTCCCTCACTGTAAGTTTCTTCATTGTCACCATTCTACCTTGCGTTAGGATACACTTCATAGCTTTCCTAACTCCTTTGTATCTTACAGGCTTGCATTGCCCTCGGCGAGCAGGCCCGGAGGCTGGAGGAGTGGCGCCTGCACAAGGCTGAGCAGGACGCGAACATGAAGGAACTTGTTCACCAGAACTCTGATGCCATCAGGCAAATGGCTGCGCTGGAGGAGAGCCTTCGGCAGAGGCCGCTGCGGGCAGAGGCCGCTGACCGTGGCAAGGCCGAGGCTGAGAGGTCCGCAGTAGAAGCCCTTGAGAAGGCCGCCAAGGCGGAGGCCATTGCCAAGGCATGGGAGGAGGCCATCTCCGGATTCCTGGCGGAGGGGTGGAAAGCCGAGGGGCACAAGCAGTGGCTATTCTCGGTTGTGGAGTCCTCTGTTGATGAGTGGTGCGACGGGCCCGGCGTAGAGTGGGTTTCCCAGAAGGGCCAGAAATATTATGATGGGGGTGAGTTTTTTACTCAGGCCCTCATCTACCGGAGGATGGCCCGTCATTTGAAAATCGACCCGAAGGACTTCGACCCGACAGCATATGGCCTCCCTCCCCTACAGCCAGATGTTCGTGTTCCCCTCCCTCCGGATGTCCAAAGGCCAGACCTAGAAGACACAGAGCTGATGAAGGAGGTCGAGGGCGACAATGAGGAGGCTGGAGTAGAGGTCACCTCGAAGCCTGCTGAGGAAGCAAAGGCTGAGTGAGATTGTACTTAGTAATTTTTTGAACAGCTTTGTAATGAACATCTGTATGCTTTCGGCATCAACCCTCCTGTAATAGACACCTTAACTTTTCTTTCCCTTTAATGGATGAATGTCTGCCTTCGGGCTTTTGTATATGAATGTATTTCGTTTTTGAATGTATGTCTTCGCCTTTCTCTGTGAATGAATGTATGTTTGTGAGGTATTCTGGCCGAGGGGCCAACTTTTAGGACTTAGAAAATATTTCTCTAAGTATAGTGCATCCCGTAGCCCTCGGCTACTAGGCCCGTTTAGTCATCTGAATATTTCACCGAGGGCCAAACGTTTAGGACTTAGAAATTTTTTCTAAGTGTTGTTCATCTGTTGGCCCTCGGCTAATTCCTTCCCTCTGATTCTGTGTAGCCTTCATGACATGACCGGAGGCAAAACGCTTAGGACATAGATAATTTTTCTAAGTGTCTGAATATCACCTGGCCTTCGGTATGTGGGCACTCTTTGCTGCATGGATACATGACCGAGGGCCCAAAATATTTAGGACTTAGAAATTTTTTCTAAGTGTAGTTGTATGAGGTAGGGGCCCTTCGGATGATTGTGAGAGCCTTGTGGTAGCGCACCTTCGGCTGAATGATAAAGGGCCCAACACTTTAGGACTTAGAAATTTTCCTAATTGTTTTGAATATCATCTGGCCTTCGGTATGTGGAGCCTTCGGGTTTGCAGAATTTTAGGTGGCACTCCCCTCGGTCATGTGGTAGTCCCGAGGGCACCCAATTTTGTAGACTTGGGAAAATTCCTCGGCCTGTGAGACTGGCCCTCGGTGAGTAGTAGTAGTTGCCTTCGACCTCTGTTGTTCATAAGAGCCTTCCACGTTCCTTGAAATGTTGTTGGGTGTTCTTAACCAATTCTATCCCTTTTGTAGGATTAGAGCTTTCGGCTTTAGTGACTTGTCCATCTATTTGAAGTTTGTGTACTCATTGATTTCTCGCTGGGTCTACTCCCCTTCACCACCCCATTTTTTTTGTAGTGAAGGGAAGGCTTCAAGAAACTTGGTTTCTTGGTAAGGCTTGGCCTATCGGGAGGTAACAGAATACACCATTAGCTCCCCCCTCGGGTTAACCTTCCGAGTTCCGAGGGGATCGAGGGTCGTTCCCTGGGCACAAGACATGGTCTGTAGCCTGCCTCCCCTTAGGAGATGGCACGGAAAGCGCCTCAGTTTTGAAAGTCGTCCCCTCGGCGCCAGACATAGTCCGTGGCCTGCCACACCCTTAGGGTAGTGGCGCGGGGAGCGTTTCGATTTGGAAGTCGAATCCTGGGCATATTAGATGCCTGCCAATCCCTTGAAGAAATGGCGCGGAAAGCGTTCCGTTTTTGAAAGTCGAATCCTGGGCATATTACCTGCCTGTCATACCCTTGGGGTAGTGACGCGGAAAGCGTTTCAGGGAAGGGTTTTCATTTGCACACTGGTTGCAAATGGCCGGGGGCACTACGTGCTACCGGCACCGATAGATGGCGCCTTCGGAATATGCGTCCTCGAGGGGTACGGCTTTAGAAACAACACTTGGTGTTTGTTCCGGTATACGGTCCCCGGCACTTGGTACCGAGAGGTTTTCTGTAAAAACATTTGGTGTTTTTCTTCATTTGTCGTAAGTGATTGGGGTGTCTACCCTCGGCACTTGATACCGAAGGGTCTTCAAAGGAAACACTTGGTGTTTTCTTCCGTTTGTTGAAAGTTGATAGTAGTGTATGCCCCCGGCACTGGGCGCCGAGGGGCATTCTGTAAAAACATGTGGGGTTCTCTTTCTATATTATGGGTGATAGTATAGTCTACCCTCGGCACTTTGCGCCGAGGGTTCTTACTTGTGATAAGGCCTTGTGCCAGGGGCTGATATGAGGGCTTGGCTGCTCATAAGGGTCTGGTTCCATGTTCTTAGTGTCTTCAATATGCCTTCATTCTTCAAAATTGGAGGCCTTGGGCCGCAAAATAATACATGCACTAGTTATGAGGGCTCGACCGCTCTGATGTTATTGATAAAATTTAACTAAGTGATGTACATTCCAGTGTCTAGGGACCTCGGTCCCATTGGGGCATTTTAGTTTGTAAGTTCCTGGTTTGATGATGGCCGCCACAATGTAGGGGGCTTCGAACTTTGGTGCCATCTTGCCGCCCTCGGTTGGTTGGCTAGCTTCCCTTCTTCGGAGGACATAATCCCCCACTTGGAATTCCCGGGAGCAGACTTTGGCGTCAACGTAACTCTTTACTTGCCTTCGGTAGTTTTCCGCGCATATGAAGGCTTGCTCTCGGCGTTCTGAAATAAGGTGAAGGTCGAGGGCCATATTGGCGTCATTGACCTCGGGGTCATATTGTGTGACCCTTCGGGTCGGAAGAGTTACCTCAGTGGGGGCCTTAGGTTCAAATCCGTAGCAAAGGGAGAAGGGTGTCTCGCCCGTTGCTCGCCGATGGGTCGTGCGGTAGGCCCATAAGATGTTGTGGAGTTCTTCTACCCAACCACCCCCTTCGGCCTCCAGTTTCTTCTTTAGGCCCTCGAGCAAGGTCCTGTTGGCGTTTTCCACCTGACTGTTGCCTTGAGGGTAGGCAACGGATGAGAAGGTGTGTTTGATGCCCCATGCCTCTAGGAGGGCACAGAAGGGGTGTAACACCGACCCCGAGCATATTTACTTTTAGTAAATTATGTAATAAACCTTGAAAGATGATTTATGAATTTGCGTAATTGTAAATTTTTATTATTTCTTTTTCGTGAATAGTAAATTGCATGTGGGGCCCACAGCGGGACGGGGACCACCCGATAATTCCCGAACCACATATTATATTCATCTTGGTCTAGATGACATCTATATGGTGGTGGATATTTTATTTGGGCTATAAGAAAGGCATGGAGTTGACCGGTTGGTCAAACGGGGCCCAATTACCGGTATTGGTAATTTAGCGGATAACAGCCCGAAATGAGTTTCGGAGACTCCTAAATTAATGTTGGTGAATGTACATCTATTCTAAAGGCCCATAATTATTGGGAACACGTGATATATTTTATCCGGCCCGATAAAATAAAATATGACTAAAATAGTCCGAAAAATACAACTTTCGGGGCCAATTATACACATCGGGACGTAATGGGATGACCTCCCACATAAGTGGGGGCCATCCCACGTTTTTATGATCTGATTACCAAGGAAAGAGCTGGGAAGAAGCTCCTAGGGACAAAACCCATACCCACCATGACCCTACCCCTTGTTTTATTGGTTGACTTAGAGGAGTAGGGATGATCTCTTATCCTCACACTCACTCTACACCATACACACAAGAGGGGAGGGAGAGGGCCTTGGGATAGCTCTGCCAACAGGAACCTTAGAGGAAGCAAAAAGGAAGTGAAATCCAGGAGGAAAAGCTAGAAGAAGAGGTAAGAACACAATTTCTACTCTTCTAACTAGTTTTATTGTGTATGATTTTTGAGAAATCATATGGTGGATTAAACCATGAGTTCTACACATTTAAAAGTGTATAATATTGATATAAAGTGGTGGTAATTAACTTAGGAGGGTTGGCAAATCGATAAGAGTCGAAATCGCCGGAAACCGCCACTTCAAAGGAGCTAGTCGTAGTTGCAGACCACGAAAGCCGCCCGGCTTTTGCAAAAGCCGCCCGGCTTTTGCCCAGAAACCTAGTTTTCCACTTTCAATCGGCCTAGAACGGGGATTGATCGAGGAGCTTAGCAAAGGCAACTATTGTAGCACATCACGAGGTGAGGATGGCTGACTATATTGCTTATAATTAGTGAGTTAATTTCATAAGAATTCCTAAAGTAATTAGATGGGATTTTCATGGATTATTAATGATTAATAATGCCTAAATGAAAGTAATATGGATATGAGTAAGTGAAGCATGATATACAAATTTAGAATAATTGTGTATGATTATGTGAAATGAATGGAACGGCATGTTAATGGAATTACTATGATGACATTGTGATAAAATATACTTTACTTCATGTATGAAATTCATGAATGGATTAAAGTGATATTTTTGATATTGAGATCAAACTATACTTGGGTTGAGAAATCAATGGAAATGAAATGCCAATTGGGAAATAGGAACTTGGCATGTTCTAAGATTATCCAATTAGTATCGAAATACTAGTCGGGGAATTAATATAAATAAATGATGAAACAAATCCTAAGAGGTGGGATTGTGAATAGATATGCCTTTAGTAGTCTCAAGAGATACTTAAGGATGAATGGTATGAACACTAAGGTGTGATAGGGGTAGGCCTAAAGGCCACCTACGGGAATTGATTCTAGGCATAGGACTTGCTTGAGAATTTGATTATGAAAATAATTAGAGTTGGACTCTAGGATGACATGGAGATGTAGTTGGGCCGAGCCCATGCCATGTAATATGATTAGCATGGAAACGTAGTTGGGCTGAGCCCTTGCCATGTATATGTGACCTCCGTGGAAACGTAGTTGGGCCGAGCCCTTGTCACGAAGTTATGGTTGGTATGGAAACGTAGTTGGGCCGAACCCTTGCCATACAAATTTTGATATGATATATTGAGCTAGAGGATTGTATAGAGATGTAGTTGGGCCGAGCCCATGCTATACAATTGGGGCTCGATGGGACCCCACGGGGTTATCGTGACTTGCGGTCACGGGGGAATGGAAATGATGAATTCTAAATGAATATGGGCCTACGGGCCGACTACTTGACTTTATGTAACGTAAGTACAGTTAAAAGTAAAAGGGGTAACCGAGGGTTATGGCCTATAATATAATAGTACCCTAAGTTGAGGGTCTTGGAAATTAAAACGTTGATTATACTTAGTATAGTTGCTATTGTACTTGTCAAATATTTCCAAGTACTGACCTCCCCTTCACGGGGGAGGCCACCTCACAGTTTCAGGTAGAACTTGAAGGTTGCTACCATCGCCCGTGGCTTCGGGAGGATCAAGGGGAGAAGACGTGGTTCGTACTTCTTCCGTTCTGTTTTAAAAACAACTACGTTAATGCTCATGGATATTATTTTTGAATAATTACTTTGGGGGCTTGTATGCCGAGTTATGCCAAGTGTGGCTTGACCAATTGTATTTATGCTTCCGCTGTTTTAAA